GGTCTATATTGGAAAGCTGCCATTTGTTCTTCTATTAACAATGGCATCTAGCTGATATGTGGCTGTTTCAATTAGTCCCTTATTAACTGGAGAGCCAGTTCAATGTATCCGTTAGCATAGAAAGCTGGGACTGGAGAAATCTGGAATATTCCATCAGCTCCAAATCAGATAACCAGGGGCAGAGAGGATGAATACTTGGATGCCCAGATTCGGGTGTCTTATAAATTTATTGTTTTGTTTTAAATGTTAGTTTACATTCTAGCACAGGCTGAACTTGGGTCTGATCATCAAGTTGAATAAAAACAACAACACAAAACACAATTGCAGATGAAAAGGTTAATTGTAGCATACACATCTAAACAGAGTGAACGATATTCTATTCCAGAAGCTTGTGTGGACCCCCATCATGCTCAGAATATGAGTATTCAACAATAGTATAGTTTCAGGTTTATAGAAACACATATAGATATATAAATGCAGAGAGGCATGGTGCAGGAGTGTCATCAGAGGGAAAGCAAATGCCAAAAACTGCAGACAATGAAAATGAAATAATTAATGCAAGGGTGCCAAATTACTCATTAGACTGGGAAATAAGTTTATTCTGCTAGGATGCTTAGAGTTGCAAGTGCAGAGGAGAAAAAGCCAGAAACCAAGAAAAGAACAGATGTGTCAAAGATACACAGCAGATTGCAAATAACACTGCTCTCCTGTAGTATAAAAAAGATTTGGGCTGAATATGTTTTATGAACAGGAATAGGGCATAACAGTCTAATGCATCAAAATATCTTCCCTATTGACAGTGTAATCACAAAGTTCTATCAGAACATCTTGGCCTTGGTTTTTACCATAAAAAAGATCAATGACAATCCGAAGATCTTGCCTAATGTCACGCTTGGTTTCCACATCTATGACAGCTACTTCGATGGGAGAATGACCTATCGCACCACTTTGGACCTTCTCTTCAAATGGCAAAGATTTGTCCCAAACTACAAATGTGACACTCAGAGAAACCTCATGGCTGTGATTGGGGGACTCACTTCTGACACATCTATCCACATGGCAGATATCTTAAGTCTCTACAGGATTCCACAGGTAGAATCGGTGCATAGGGGAATGTGGGGAAGTTTCTTTTGCAATACTTTTATTCAGAAAGAAAAGAGAAATATTAGTGTGATATAGAAATAACCTGGAAATTTCATTATTTCCCCATAACTAGAAATCCAACCAGAATTTTTTTTTTAATAAAAAAGTAATTCAAAGTTTGCCTACAAATTTCTTAAGGAAATGTTCTTCTATGTTATCATTTTCTTTTAGCTCACCTATGGCTCATTTGCTTCAGAGGAGAGTCAATCAATGCAGAAGTCTTTTTATACCATGGTCCAAAATGAAGACCTTCAATATGTAGGGATTATCCGGTTACTTCAGTACTTCAGATGGAAGTGGGTGGGGCTCTTTGTTGCCAAATATGACAGCGGAGAACATTTTTTGAAGATCCTGGAGCCATTGTTCTCCCAGAATGGAATCTGTTCAGCCTTCACAAAAAGAATCCCACTTCAAGTTGTTATAGAAGATCTGGAAAAAATATCTGGTGAAATTGAAGGTATTTATGAAGGTCTCAGAGATGAAAAGGCCAGTACGGTTATCGTCTATGGAGATGATTTTACAATTGCATATGTGAAAATAGCTATATTTATAATAAATAATAGCAATAAGCAAAACACATCATTTGGAAAGGTCTGGATCATGACAGCTCAGATAGATTTTGTATCATTTGGATTAATGAGAAACTGGGATTTTCAAGGGTTGCAAGGTGCCCTTTCCTTTACAATTCACTCAGAAGAACTTCTAGAGTTCAACCAATTCCTTAAGAATATCCAAACACACAGGACCAAAGCAGATGGCTTTTGGAAGGACTTCTGGGAGCAGGCATTTGACTGTCTCTATCCTGATCCAGGTATGCCTGTCAAGGAAGATGGAATGTGTACTGGAGAAGAGAGGCTGGAAAGTCTCCCTGCAGGTGTTTTTGAAATGCACATGTCTGGGCAGAGCTACAGTATCTATAATGCTGTCTATGCTGTAGCTCACACATTGCATGCCATTTCCTCATCCAGATCCCCACAGAAAGCCGTGACCGTTGGTTACAGTGTTGGATTTCCATCTCTGCAGCCTTGGAAGGTAATGTTGCAGAGCCAAATAGTCTCATGTCAATGAACTGATTAACAGGAGTAGAACAGGAAGTTCCCTTTTACAAAGTTAGGCCTCTCATAAATCTGTTTCATCATTGTGTACACTGTCTGTGTTGGGATCTCCAGATTTTGAGACAAGGTGAGATTCCCATTGCCATCGGAAGTTTCTGGGGATTGAATCTGGGCCCTTTCAATGCAAGGAGCTGCTCAACCAGGGAGCGGCTACCCTCTTCTCATGTGTTAAAAAAAGAGCTGGCAAAGTATTCTGCATCTTAGTCATGGCAGACCCTCCAAGTGTCCCTATTTTCCAGGGATGTCCCTGATTTAGAGAAGCTGTTCCTGTTTCTGATTTGATCCTAGAATGTCTCGCTTTTCCTTAGCATATCCCTATTTTCATTGGTGAAATGTTGGAGGGTATGGAACTAGTCAATCCCCAAGACATCTGAAGTTAATCCTGTGTAGAGAAGCTTTTTAAATGTTTAATAATTCATTATGTTTCTATATATGTTGGAAACAGTCAGGAGTGCTAAATAGTAAAGTTATCATCATGGAATGGGATTTCCCTATATTCATTGGAGAAATGTTTGAGGGTATGTCGTGGTTACAGTCTTGCTGGTTTATATTTCATCTTGTAACATTTCATCTTGTAACTTGTCCTTGGAATCTGTTGCAATTGGGAACCTCAAATAAACTGAGTCTTCTCTTTTAAAAACAACAACAGATCAACTCATTTCTTCAAGGTATTTCATTTAACAACTCAGCTGGAGAAACGGTATCATTTAATGATAAAAGGGAAATGAAAGGAGGATTTGACATCATGAATCTGGTCACATTCCCAAACAAGTCTTTCCAGAGAGTGAAAGTTGGATGGGTGGATCTCAGTGATAGAGGAGATAAAGAGTTTATCATCAATGAGGACAAAATTCTATGGCACCAAAGTTTTAACCAGGTAGAGAATGTGGGAACCTCTTTGCAAAAACAAGGAATACTTTCTGCCATTTCCTGTTCTGTCTAATATTGCTTTGCATAAAGGATACAAATACTGGAGATCAGGAAGAAGGGCTTCCATTTATTTTTTTGCTGAATATTGAAGACTGATTTTGCCCCTTCTATGACATTTTTTGTTTCTATGATTGATGTAGATGAGATTTCAAGTGCTTCATCTTTCTCAGATACATAGATGGACTTCCTGGCTGGCTATGGTGAATTGGCTAGTATTTAAATGTATCTAATAGGACGTGCCACTGGCTTATGGATAAAAAAGATTTTCTGAATCAATTTCAATTGCATTTTAGACTCTGTTTTGACATGGAAACTTGGGTGGTCATTATGTGTGATTATCTGTTTTGGGAAAGAGATTGAGGAGCATGTCCATGTTAATTCTCTGTGATCTCATCAGCTAGTGAGGATAAACCATGACATCCTTCAGAATGCCCTCCTTAGATGGTTGTTTTCAGAGGGTGGTTTTGAGGAGTGTGGTTCTGCCCCATGGAGCTTCTTGTTTGGTGTTCTGCAGGCTATTTTTTTCTTTATCATGTTGTTGAGGATGTTTCACCCCTCCCATTGCAAGAATCTGCTGACAATGTTTCAGAAAGGAGGGGGCGTATTTAGCTCATTACTTCTTCCACTCCAGCCTGACTTCAAAGGGAGTCTGAGTGTTATCTGTGTATAGATAAGGTCGCTGCTCAAGCAGCTGTAACACTCATGCAGTCCAGCGTCTCCGATTAGTCTTTAGTTAGTTTACTCAGTAGCTGTAGAGAATAAAAGAAGTTATACTTCAGAGCTGTCGTTCGTGTGGTTCATGCTCTGCTGTGCTCCACTGACTTGGGCCAGGCGAGCTGGGAAAGGTCTCTGAGACTGCTTTCCCAGCTCGCCTGGCCCAGTCGGGGCTGAAGAGGTTGAGCCCAGTCGTTGGCACTGGCTCAAAGGCGAAGCTGACAGTTGTTTTACATTTATATGAACCTGCTCATTCATCTGGCGATTTGGAGTGCATTGCCAGCAACATGCTGGGGACAAAAAGCTCTCCTTCAGCAGGTGCAGCAGGTGAGGTGCTGCATCGATGTCTTGTCTCTGGAATGGAGTGTATGAGAGCTAATAAACAGAAGCAGAATCCAGACAGGACTAAAGCTCTATTAGTGCCATCCTAGACAAGAGAGATGGGAGGTTGCCTAGTCTGCTTGAGGCTTAAGTGGCCTTCTGTTGTGTACGATCTGGTAACCTCAAAAGTTGTGTTATTTTAATGTATTAAGGGTGGGAGGCTTTGATGATTCAGTGATTAGGATGCTCACTGCAGCAAAATTGTGTCAGCACATAGCACCAATCCTGAACTGACTACACCAGATATGAATTACTTTCTGCGTTCAGTTCAAAGTGCATGATTTGGCAGAGGAGCCCAATATCTCCCCCATAAGAATTGTCTCAGAGCCTGCAGTCATCTCTGACGTCCTTTCTATGCGGCCATTCCACAGGAGGTCCAAAGAGTGGGGACATGATGCAAACCTGACATTCCAAATCCCTCTATTCCAACTTTGAAATCAATATCACATTGAAAGTACACTGAAAGGAAAGTTACCTTCTCAAACAGGGCTGAAATTTAGCAAATATTGCTAAAATATTATGTGTTTTCTTTGAAAATTAAAAACCCCAAAACAAATGAACAGAAAAGGTCCTTTAAGCCATAAAACAATACAATGTATAGGTGCATAAATAATGCTAATACCCGTTACTGAAGCATAATGTGACTCTGTGGGTGACAAATATGAAAGCTCTTTCACCCTGAACTCCCCTCACATTTTTGTACAGGTGCTTCCCTTTTCTTTGTGCAATGAACCCTGCCACTCTGGTTATCAGAAGAAAAGGAAGGAAGGGGAAAAGTTTTGTTGCTATGATTGTGCTCCATGCCCAGCAGGGAAGATTTCAAAGCAGACGGGTAGGTAAAACTTTTGTATCCTGATGACCAAACAAAGAGACTGACGCACAGGCTGGGCTGGAGCTGGGTCAATTAATTCAGGGAACACAACAAGATCAGCACAGGGTAAAAGCTAAAGGTAAAGGACCCCTGGCAGTTAAGTCCAGTTGCGAATGACTTTGGGGTTGTGGCACTCATCTTGCTTTATAATGCTGTTTACCTTTCCGCCAGAGTGGTATTAGCGTTTAAAGGGGAAAATAACTTAAACTACAAGAGTAGCCATTGAGTGGCACACCCCTGCCTGTCCAAAATTGAGGCCACACCTTAGAGGAGAGAGGGTCAATGGCTGATGTGGCCCAATTCTGAATGAATGCATACCCAAAAAGAACCTGCTGCAAGTTGAAATACTGGTGCGAGATCTTGGCGGCAAGCCAAAATTGAAAATTCAAAAGGGAGAAGAATGAGCATCAGTAAAGAAGTATCCCTGATTGAGAGCCTCTAAAGCACAGGAATCTGTGAAGAGCTTGTACAGAGCAGAACTCCACCGTGGGATACTGAGAAAAACAGATGGTTGAACCCTTGCCTCTCTGGTCAGTTGTGGAGCAACATAGCTGAGGGCAATGTCCTGCACCAAATGTGAATCCTGAAACTAAAAAAGCCTGATGAGAAGCATCATTTTCAGAGGAAGCTACCATTTCACTGATCCTGGTGCAGAAGTAAAACAACAACAACAACAACAACAACAACAACAACAACAACAAAACAGCACAGTAAGTGCTGTAGCATGAAGCTATGCGGTTTCATAGGATCTTATGCACAAAGCTTCCCATTGATGACAGAGACCCTTGAGTAGGTCAGGAGAAATTGACAGCCTGCATTTTGGGGCAATAGGAGCCTCCCTGGCCAAGTCCTCTAGCATCCTGTGAATCCTGAAATCCGAAGGTGAATCAAGAAAACCCTTGGATCTGGCCAAAAAGGAAATGCCCGACTCTTTTACACATATGATGTTCACTAAGAGGCTCCTAGGGATGCGGGTGGCGCTGTGGGTTAAAGCCTCAGCGCCTAGGACTTGCCGATCGCATGGTCAGCGGTTCGAATCCCCGCGGCGGGGTGCGCTCCTGTCGCTCGGTCCCAGCGCCTGCCAACCTAGCAGTTCAAAAGCACCCCCGGGTGCAAGTAGATAAATAGGGACCGCTTACTAGCGGGAAGGTAAACGGCGTTCCGTGTGCTGCGCTGGCTCGCTGGCCATGTGACCCGGAAGTGTCTGCGGACAGCGCTGGCCCCCGGCCTATAGAGTGAGATGGGCGCACAACCCTAGAGTCTGTCAAGACTGGCCCGTATGGGCAGGGGTACCTTTACCTTTACCTTTAAGAGGCTCCTATTCTTGCAGCAAACACAAATCTCCAGCAGGTAATCCACTGGAATGGGCCAAGAGTGTAGGTAACCCCATGAAACCTCTGGCTAAGTCCTGGCACTTGACAACTGGCAGCAGAAGCAGTCCTTCTGGTTCCGAGATAAAGCATCAGCAACACTGTTGTCAATGCCTGAAGTGTGTCATGCTATTAAAGGAATATCAGAGGCACTGACCCACAAGAAACATGGCTTGTGAAAATTATTAACCACCTGCCTGTGTTTATCACACCAAAATGAGACCTACATTGGCTCCCAGTACATTTCCAAGCATAAGTCAAAGTGTTGGTGCTGACCTGTAAAGCCCTAAATGGCCCCGGCCCTGTATGCCTGAAGGACATCTCCACCCTCATCGTTCAGCCACAACACTGAAGTCCAGCTCCTAGGGCCTTCTGGAGGTTCCCTCACTGTGAGAAATTAGATTGCAGGGAACCAGGCAGAGGGCATTCTTGGTAGTGGCACCGACTCCGTGGAACACCTGTCAAGCAGATGAGTAACTATATAACCTTTAGAAGACATCTGAAGACAGCCCTGTACAGGGAAGCTTTTTAAGAATTAATCTTTTATTATGTTTTTATATTGTTGGGAACTGCCCAAAGTGGCTAGGGCATGGTACAAAATTATAGTAGTAGTAGTCGTAGTAGTCTAGACTGTGACCAGGAAGTGGGTATGGGATACTGCACCAGCTGTCACCAATACAGACACCAAAATCCTAATATCATGATTCATCTGAGCAAATCTGAAGCCCATCCTCAAGGAGGCAGTTGGCCCTCCAAAAAGACAGACCATCAAACTTCAGAAGGAAAGAAGACCAGACTGCCAACTCCACACACAACTCATGGGTTACATGGGAAAGGCAAATCTGGCAAATCTGCCTAAGATATGCATACCTAGTGATTCAACAAGAAAAATTCAAAAGGCCAGCAAGTTCTTATAGTAACATGCCTTCAAGGGGCTACTCACCAAACCAAAAAGGCAAGCACAACTCATGGGTGCCCACTTAACTTTCCCAGAGGTGTCTCCATCAACTACCAGAGGAGCCTCAGTTGAGGTTGTCACCAAAGCAAACCTCTGTCAGAATGGTCCTCAGTCACCATTACTGACACAAACGCTGGGCCTTCTGTTGCTGCTGCTGCCAGATAGGAAGGGGCCCAAGGCTCTGTGTATTGGGCTGGTCTCCTGCACAGGCACTGGGAATAGCCCTCGCCCCAGCCATGTTGTGGCCAAGTGTGCTCTTGCAAGAATGCAACCAATCCCTGGCTACTTTCTTCTTTTTAAAAAAATAATATTTATTAATAGTTTCCGAGTTACAAAAAAAAGGAAAAAATAGGAAACAACACTACAATACATAAAAAAGAAGGAAAAAAGCAAAACATAAAAACCAATACAACAATACAGCAAAAAGATAAAAAAAGAAAAGAAAAGACAGAAATCCCATATTACATAACTTTAACTTCCATTTGCTTGTTTCATTGACCTCCTCACACCTCCCTTTTTGTATTCTAGTTTAATTAGCTATTTCAGCAAATTCTTTCCATCTTTCTCAATTTTTATTAAATAATTTATCTTAACAATTTAACCTATTAATTAACTCAACAAATCCTTTCCATCTTTTCCCCATATTCTGTTGTTCAAATTACCTTAATTTATTTAACCTTATCTTACCGTAAAATACCTTAGAGCTTGAAACTTAATACTCAATTATACATAACTCCTGATATCATTTCTACTAGAGCCATATAGTTTCATTCCAACATTTTCCCTAATATTCATTAATTTTAGGCTAATTCGCTAAATAAAAATTTTTCTTTATAAATTTTCTTCCAATCTTCATCCAACGTCTCTTCTTCCTGGTCTCGGGTCATGTCAGTCCTTACTGTCCATTCCATCTAGTCCATCAACCTGGTAATCTTATGTCCGAGGCCCTTAAGTCTCTTCCATGTCCCTTCTGCAGATCTTCTTCAAATAAACAATCCCTGGCTACTTTCAATGTAAGGAGGACACCCTTCTACACCCAGGTAGGCTGCAGATGGAGGACCCCTCCAAAGAACTTCTGTTGGAGAAGAGGGCAGCTGGGTGCCTCTTATATAGGGCCCAAAATGCAGCCCTGCCTATCTCATGCCACTTTTAAATGCACCAGTATGTGCACTGCTGGTTCATGTGCTGTCCTTCATGGCTAACGTGCCACTAATCTGCCTCAGCAGTCAGTACTGCTGGGAAATGATGATGGAACAGCCATAATGTACAATTCACCACAAGACTTTGTGTGCTAGGTCAGATGAGTTGGTGCTGGATCTCTACTAATGATTTTCTTTACATTTCTCAGATATGGATGCATGTTTCAATTGCCCAGAAGGTCAGTATCCAAACAAGAAGAGAAATGGATGCATCCCCAAAGTTATACATTTTTTGTCCTATGAAGAACCTTTAGGGATCACTTTAGCCTCACTTAGTGTCTTATGTTCTTTGATTACTGCTTTGGTCTTGGCTATTTTTATCCAACACAAAGATACCCCCATAGTCATAGCCAACAACCGAGATCTCACCTACACTCTCCTGGTCTCCCTCCTGCTCTGCTTCCTCTCCTCTTTGCTTTTCCTCGGCCAACCTGGGAAAGTGACTTGCCTTCTCCAACAACCTGCTTTTGGCATCATCTTCTCTGTAGCTGTTTCTTGTGTGTTGGCCAAGACCATCATTGTTTCTCTAGCATTCATAGCCACAAAGCCAGGATCTAAGATGAAGAAATGGGTGGGAAAGAGACTGGCCCATTCTATTGTCCTTTCAGGTTCCCTCATTCAAGTGGGTATCTGTACTCTGTGGCTGACAACGTCTCCCCCCTTCCCTGATCTAGACATGCATTCAGTAGCTGAAGAAACCATTGTGCAATGTAATGTTGGGTCTGTCACCATGTTCTATTGTGTTTTAGGCTACATGGGCCTCTTGGCCCTCACTAGCTTCATTGTGGCCTTCCTGGCCCGCAAGTTACCTGACAGTTTTAATGAAGCCCAGTTCATTACCTTCAGTATGTTAGCATTTTGCAGTGTTTGGGTCTCTTTTGTTCCAACCTACCTGAGCACAAAAGGGAAACACATGGTAGCTGTGGAGATCTTCTCCATCTTGGCCTCCAGTGCTGGTTTACTGGGTTGTATCTTTTCTCCAAAATGCTACATCATTGTGCTGAGGCCTGAACTGAACAGCAGGGATCAATTAATACGAAGAAAGGATTAAGCCGTCTGTCTCCACTCATCATAGCATTTTTCAAAAAAAATCTTTGAGATGTTTTACAATCAATAAAATTGTATATATTTTACGAAATCAATAAACAAGTGCCCTAACATCTCTTGGATAAAGTAGCTGGGCGGAGATACATTCATATAATATTAGTCATAGTTATTCAATTTCAAATTATTACAAACCCTGTCCAGATATTTTGCCTTGCATTTTAGTTTCCCTATTAGTTCTTATCACCACATGCTTGCTTCAGGTGTCTCCCAAGAGGGCCTGCTCCATGACTGAATCTTGGTATTGAAATGCTGCAGATCAGGCTGAATTCCTCTAAATTGCATGTATATTGTTGATTGCAATATGATAGTCGCCCCTTTCCATTCAGGTATTCATTAAGTGTTAGTACTTGATCTGGTTTCCTATGTGGTTTTATGAGTTGATTTTTTAAAAAAATAAAGTATGATTGTGTTTTATTACATGTGCTATGGTTTGAAATGTTCTGTTTCTCCACCCTGTAAGTGCCTTTGCAATAAAGAGGAGTTGTGAGTGGTTGAATCTGTGAGATTCACTTCCATTTTTTTTCAAGTTCAGAGTTTGGGGTTCTGCCTGAGAATGTCACTGAAGGCTTTTGTGGGTGCCACATCAGCTGTGGTATCCTGGTGAGCCACCCACACATTATACCATGGAGAAACTCTCAAAACATTGGGTATAAAATTATTAACTGACTGAGATGTCAGCTTGGATAAAATATTGGGGTGGGAAAGGTAAGCCCTGCCCCACATAATCACATGGCATGGCACACACAGAGCTTCTGAATGGCAATGCCCATCAACTGAGGGGGCGGCCCAAACAACACAATTTTATTGTAGGTGGGGGGGGGGGGCTGAAGGGACCTTGGCCTCTATTTTAACTCTATTTTAGACTATGGAATCATTTGGGGATATAGCATTTGTTTCTGTCCTCTGGCAAGATGGCTGTGCTTTAGGGTACCACTTTCTGTCTGATGTTTTCTCACCATTGAACTCTGCACTCAAATTCCCCCATCTCAGTCCTTCAAGGAGCAGATTCAACCTGCTTTTTCTATCTGAATATTTGAAGATACTTTTCTGATCAAAAGTGCCACTCAAAGTCCAAGATCCAATGAAGTAATTATCTCCCTCTGCAATTATCCAGATCACAATATTTTTTCCAGCTAGACAGAAATCTCAGGAGTTTCCTAAGGACACCAGGAAACAGTCAACAACCCAGCATAGTAAGAGCATTAAATATACTCCTGTGCCAGTGAGATTCAGGAGTGTTGCATAATATGTGTGAGATGTTTTACTGGTTTTGTTACTGTCAACACTTCTTTTTTATTTTCATTGAGTTTTAGTAATATTTTAAGTTCATATTCAGAGTATTTCTATGTCTGCTGATGTTATAAAGAAAGCTAAAAGTGCAACCACCAACACAGCCAAAGTCAGAAGGGGGAGTTATTTGGACACAGGGGAACCTGCATCTTCTGAGAGAGGCTTTGAAGCTACCATGGTGAGGCTCTTGCTGCTCCTGCTGCTGCCTCACACAATGTGCAAAGGCAGGACAATAAAGTGCCTTGCCGTTGATCCAATCCCTGTGCCCCATGAATGGTACCAGGCAGGTGACCTCCTCATTGGTGGGATTGCTTCTCACATCACTTACTATTTTAAGGAATTATTATTCATGGAACATCCTTCTCAGGACCTGTTTGACACCCCACAGTAAGCAATAATATGCCCCACGAACAAAGGGATATAAACCAATCCCATATTATCAGAAAAGAGAAAGTGTGTTGATATGAACAATGGGTACATTAACAGTACATGGCCTCAGCCTACAGGGTGGTACCAAAGTCAGTGACTTTAAGCAAATGAAGCTCTTCTGAACATTCATTCCTCCAATCTCTGTAACTGCAAACTTTCATTCTTACCAAAGCCGCCAAGGAAGTCATAAACATTACACTTCAGCTTTGTTTATTTGAGCATGTGTGTGTGTGTGTGTGTGTGAGAGAGAGAGAGAGAGAGAGAGAGAGATTTCAGAAGAGAACTAATTAAAAACAATGTAATTATAAAAACACGGAGGATTCCTGTGACACCAAAAACAGTTTATGAAGGGTTGTATTGGTTAGTGAGTTTTCTTTTTTGGCTTCTTATTTTTTTAATGTATTATGTGATGTTATGTTCTATTTTTAAGTTATGAACTGCCCTTAGATATACCAGAGAAGGGCGATATACTAATTTAATAAATAAAAATGAATTATTATTATTATTATTATTATTATTATTATTATTATTATCATACATAACTGTGAACTTCTGTCACCATCAACAGGCAAAGTTTTATTCAGTGTAATAGTTTCAGGTATAAAGAAATAAATACAGATATATAAATGCAGAGAGGCATGGTGCAGAAGTGCCATCAAAGGGAAATGAAATGCCAAAATTTGGAGGGAATGTAAATCACATAATTAATGTAGAGATACCAAATCACTCATAAGACAAATAAGTTCATTCTGCTAGGGTGCTTTGTACTGAAAGTGCAGAGGAAAAACCAAGAGAAGAGCAGGTGTGTCAAAGATACACTGCAGAACACAAATACAATTGCTCTACTCTATCATAACTCAGATTTTGGCTGAATGTGTTTTTTTGAATAGGAAGAGGACATAACGGTCTCGTGCATTAAAGTATTTCCCCTCCCTTTTTATATCTTCCCTATTTACAGTGTAACCACAAAGTTCTATCAGAACATCCTGGCCTTGGTGTTTGCCATAAAAGAGATCAATGACAATCCAAAGATCTTGCCCAATGTCACCCTTGGTTTCCACATCTATGACAGCTATTCTGATGCGAGAATGACCTATCGAAGCACTTTGGACCTTCTCTTCAAACGGCAAAGATTTGTCCCCAACTACAAGTGTGACACTCAGAAAAACCTCATGGCTGTGATTGGGGGACTTACTTCTGACACTTCTATCCAAACGGCAGATATCTTAAGTATCTACAGGGCTCCACAGGTAGAATCAGTGCATAGGGGAATGTGGGGAAGTTGAATCTGACATTCTTTGATTCAGAAGGAAAAGAGAAATATTAGTGTGCGAAGGAAATAGCCAGAAATTCAATTATTTTCAGATAACTAAAAAATGTTGAGCCAGGATTTTTCTTCCATGACTATTTCAAGTTCCACCTTCAACCATCTTTAGGAAATGTTCTGCTAAATTATCATTTTCTTTTAGCTCACCTATGGCTCATTTGCTTCAGAGGAGATTCAATCAAGGCAGACAACTTCTTTTTATAGCATGGTCCCAAAGGAAATCCACCAATATGTAGGGATTATCCACTTACTTCAGTACTTCAGATGGATATGGGTTGGGCTCTTTGTTTCGAATAATAATAGTGGAGAACATTTTTTGAGGACCCTGGAGCTATTGTTTTCCGACAATGGGATCTGTTCAGCCTTCACAAAAAGAATCTCACTTCAAGCTCATATGGACAATATGGAAGGAATGTATGATATAATGGGAAGTATTTATCAAGGTCTCACAGATGAAAAGACCACTGCAGTTATATTCTATGGAGACTATGGGGCAATTTCGTGGCTGAGAACTGTTTTACTTTTCCAATATAATGGAGGTAATCAAAACACATCATTTGGGAAGGTCTGGATCATGACAGCCCAGATAGATTTCCTATCAACCGGACTTCAGAGAAACTGGGATTTTCAAGGGTTCCAAGGTGCCCTTTCCTTTACAATTCACTCAAAAGAGCTTCTACAGTTCAACCATTTCCTTCAGAACATCCAAACACACTGGACCAAAGCAAATGGCTTTCGGAAGGACTTCTGGGAGCAGGCATTTGACTGTTTCTTTCCAGATCCTGGTATGCCAGTCATGGATGATGGAAGGTGTACTGGAGAGGAGAGGCTGGAAAGTCTCCCGGCAGGTCTTTTTGAAATGCACATGACTGGGCAGAGCTACAGTATCTATAATGCTGCCTGTGCTGTAGCTCATGCATTGCATGCCATTTCCTCATCCAGACCCCCACACAGAGCAGAGACCGTTGGTTACAGTGTTGGATTTCCATCTCTGCAGCCTTGGCAGGTAATGTTGCAGAGCCAATTTTTCTCTATTAACTGATTAACAGGAGTAGAACAGGAAATTGCTTTATACAAAATTAGGCCTGACATCTATCTGTTTCAGCATTGTGTACCCTGACAGGCTTGGGCTCTCCAGGGTTTGAGACAAGATGAGATTCCGAGTGTTACCGGAAGATTCTGGGGACCGAATCGGGACCCTTTCCATGCAAGGAGCTGCTCCACCAGGGAGCTGCTACCCTTTACTGCCCCTCTTTTTATACGTAAAAAACCAAACAAACAAACAAACGGGAAAATATTCTGCATCTTAGTCATGGTTACTCTCTTGCTGGTTTACATTTCATCTTATAACTTGACCTTGGAGTCTGTTTCACTTGGGAACCTCAAATAGTTTGATTCTTCTTCTTCTTTTTAAATAGATCAACTCATTTCTTCAAGGTGTTTCATTTAACAACTCAGCTGGAGAAACGGTATCATTTAATCATAACAGGGAAATGAGAGGAGGATTTGACATCATGAATCTGGTCACATTCCCAAACACGTCTTTCCAGAGAGTGAAAGTTGGATCGGTGGGTCTCAGTGATAGAGGAGATAAGGAGTTAATCATCAACGAGGACAAAATTCTATGGCACCAAAGTTTTAACCAGGTATGGATTGGAGTTACCAAACTGCAAAGAGCTTGCAGGTATGACTAAAGTTACTAAATAACAACAAGCATAGCAAGAACAACAATGATGTCTAGTGCATTCAGAAATATGATGTGAAACTGATATGCCAAATCTCCCTTTTCCCACTTTGAAATCAGTATTACCTTGAAAGTGCACTGAAAATAAAGCATAAGATTGTCCTGTGGGTGCCATATAGGAAAGCACTTCCACCCCCAACTTTCCCATATTTTTGTACAGGTGCTTCCCTTTTCTTTGTGCAATGAAGCCTGCCACTCTGGTCATCAGAAGAAAAGGAAGGAAGGGGAAAAGTTTTGTTGCTATGATTGTGCTCCATGCCCAGCGGGGAAGATTTCAAACCAGACTGGTAGGTAAAGCTCTTGAATCCTGATGACCAAACAAAGAGACTGATATACAGGCGGGGCTTGAGCTGGGTCACTTATATTTAGTGAACATAACAAGATCAGCAGAGGAGGATAAATTCAAAATGCAGAACTTCAGCCATTGGGTGACACACAGCTCTTTTTTAAAGCCAGAACTCTCCAGAACTCAGTTCTGGAACCTCTCAAGTGGGCACCATTGCCATACTAAGAGAATGAGGGAGGTGTTCATGGTGAATTGCAACTAATGGTCAGTTATGGAGCAGAGCCCACTTCCCTAAGCAAACTAAGGAATAGTGGAATTAGGGGCGTGGCAACCCAGTGACAGCTTATGCATACCCCGAGTAAGCAGGAGCTATGAAAGGGAAAGCTTCAGGCCAGCAAAGGGAAGCATTTGCTCTCCTACAATCTCTGGTATTCTATTGAATTTGAACCCCTGGCTGACCCGGCGTTGGTTTGCAATTGTGTTAGAAGTTTAATTGCTGCTTCACCAGAGGAAGCAAGGGTCCTCAGGTATAAATCCAACTATGATTGTGGGAGGGAGAAAGACCCAGCAAAGGAGTGGAAGCCCTGATAGGCTAGCAAGTGGTACTTCAAAAGACAGCAACTGGCAGGCTGCCAGCGAAAGTGAGCAGAGAGAGACCCCTGCACAAATGAACAAGCCGTAAAGGGGCAGTGCACCCAACCAAAAGGTTTGCTCCTTATGTAGAACCCCAAAGCAGACCTCCACATCTCATGCCATCTTTAAATGCTACAGTATGTTCACTGCTGGTTGGTGTGCTGTCTCTCATGGCCAATGTGCCACAAATGTGACTCGGCAACCAGTATTGCTGTGGCAGAACAGCCATAATATACAATTTGTCACAATACATGGTTCATTCAATGGGCTAGGTCAGATGAATCGGAACTGAATTTCTGTTTAAGCTTTTCTTTATGTTTCTCAGATATGGACGCGTGTTTCAATTGCCCAGAAGATCAATATCCAAACAAGAAGAGAAATGGATGCATCCCCAAAGTTATAAATTTTTTATCCTATGAAGAACCTTTAGGGATCACTTTAGCCTCACTTAGTGTATTGTGTTCTTTGATTACTGCTTTGGTGTTGGCTATTTTTATCCAGCACAAAGATACCCCCATAGTCATCGCCAACAACCGAGAGCTCACCTACACTCTCCTGGTCTCCCTCCTGCTCTGCTTCCTCTCCTCTTTGCTTTTCCTCGGCCAGCCTGGGAAAGTGACCTGTCTTCTCCAACAACCTGCTTTTGGCATCATCTTCTCCGTAGCTGTTTCTTGTGTGTTGGCCAAGACCATCATTGTTTCTCTAGCATTCATAGCCACAAAGCCAGGATCTAAGATGAAGAAATGGGTGGGAAAGAGACTGGCCCATTCCATTGTCCTTTTAGGTTCCCTCATTCAAATTGGTATCTGTACTCTGTGGCTGACAACATCTCCCCCCTTTCCTGATCTAGACATGAATTCAGTAGCTGAAGAAACCATTGTGCAATGTAACGTTGGGTCCGTCACCATGTTCTATTGTGTCTTGGGCTACATGGGCTTCTTGGCCATTGCTAGTTTCATTGTGGCCTTCCTGGCCCGCAAGTTACCTGACAGTTTTAATGAAGCCCAGTTCATCACCTTCAGTATGTTAGCATTTTGCAGTGTTTGGATCTCTTTTGTTCCAACCTACCTGAGCACAAGAGGGAAACACATGGTGGCTGTGGAGGTCTTCTCCATCTTGGCCTCCAGTGCTGGATTACTGGGTTGTATCTTTTCCCCAAAATGCTACATCATTGTGCTGAGGCCTGAACTGAACAGCAAGGATCAATTAATACGAAGAAAGATTTAAGAAAGGATTAAGCCATCTGTTTTCACTCACAATAGCATTTCTTCTTAAACTGCTTTGAGATTTTTTTTGACAAAATTGTATAATTTTTATGAAATAAACAAATAAATAAATAAATAAATAAATAAATAAATACAGACCCTAGTGCCTGTTGGGAAACTAGCAGGAAAAAGCCTATAAAATTAGTTATACTTATGCACTGCAGACACAAATCACATTGAAAGCAGTTTAATGATTAAGATTTTAGTAGGTACAACATGTGAAGGGGAGTTTTATTTGTTTCTCCCACAAACAACTTTACACACACAAAGTTTCTTTGGTGTTCTGGGTAAAAAGAATAACTGTTTAATCAACAAAGTGTGACCTCCAGGGGAAGATCAGTAGCTCAGAGGCAAAGCATCTGCCCTGTATGCAGAATTTTGCAGCTCCAGGTAGGGCTAGGAAAAGACTCCTATCTAAATCCCAGGAGAGACTGGTGCCAGGGGGTGTAGATAACTCCAAGACAGTTGGACCAAGGGTTTGGCAATGTATTTAGGCTATTTGGAGAACCTTCCAAAATAAGTTATGCAGCCTCCCACCACTAGATGGCAGTAAAGGTTCTTCCACTCTTAGAAGAAAGCAGCCGTTTACTGGCTGAGGTTTCTCTGACTCTGGTATGATAACCACTAAGGGCTGCAGAAGTCACTGAGCTCGGGAAGGAGCAAGCTTTGGTGCTTGTCTGCATTATTGAATTGGAGGGAGATGCCCATGGGCTCCAGGATGGCCTCAATAACTTGGCTATCTCGGTGGAGGCATCTCTTTGGACTACTCGTCCTATATCAGTGGACTATTGGTAAGGAAACTTAGCTTAGGAAACAGATACATAAATAAGCAAAGTGGGAAATAATTAAATATGAAGCCTGCTGTGTAGGAGGCTTTAGTTCAGGGTTTCAGCCAGCTAGTTGTGACCCTTTCTGTATTACTTTCTTTCGCTCATTCTCTGCCCTAGTTTTCCATCCTTCCTGAGAGAGAACAGAACTCCTTGTGCACTGCTCATATTTTAAGAACATGGATCTGGGAGGGTGGCTGCGTGTTTGTGTGAAGATTTCAGATTTAAAAACACAGTTTTAAAAAAGCGAAGAATGGGCAGAGGAAGGAAAATTGTGTTTCAATTTTTCCATCCATTCCCTACCTTTATACCCTGTGCAGTAGTGCTTTAATTCATGTACTGCAGTTTTGACATTATTTCTTGACTTCCTTCTACCAATTGCTGAATGAAAACTGACTGTGTACATTAAGGGAAACCTTTAGCATGCTTTTAATACCTTCTTCGATATCCTGCAGTCTGCAGCTCTGATTCCCAAGTGACCCAGAGTCCTGTATCACAGAACGTCCAGGAAGGGGGACTGTTTGCCATCATCTGCAGCAACCCCAATGAATATCGCACCCATTTTTGGTACCGTCAGCAGCCTGGAAGAGCACCGACCTTCCTCTTGTATATAGCATCCCAAGAAAAGAACGAAACCAAAGGACGCTTCACAGCAGAGTACTTGGAGAAGGGAAAGAAAAGTCGCCTGCATCTCTCTGGTGCTCAGATTCAAGACTCAGGCACTTACTTTTGTGGCGTAGAGCACAGTGGTGCTGGAAGGAAGAGGCTCATGACTATAAGTTCAGGTCTTCTTCAGCTCTGATGTTCACCTTTAGTCTGTGATACTCTGCTGCTGAAAACGTTCCCCTACAAATATTCATAAAGCCCAATATTAAAGAACTTACCAAGTCTCTCTCTCTATTACACATGCACATGCACACGCGCGCACACACACACAGAGACATGGGGAGAGAGAGATAGACAGAGACAGAGAGCAAAATTTGTGTTAAGGAAATATGAATCTTTCAGTTTGGTTTCCCTTGTTTCCCATTATTTTGCCAATCTTCTGTTTTCCACATTATGCCTGTTTTCCATCTCCCTGGGAAGAAAAGTCCTTCCAAGTGTGTAGAGACTAAAATAGTTATATTGTTCAGTTAAGTTAATAATAATAAATAATAATAATAAATTTTATTTATATCCCGCCCTCCCCAGCTGAAGCCGGGCTCAGGGCGGCTAACAACAATAAAACAGTACAAAAGTACATCACAAACAACACTCTAAAATCATTCATTATAAAATTAATTAATTCAAGCCACTGGCAACCATTGGGCCAGAGCTCCACGAAGATTGCTGAGGGAGGGAGTCAGGCTGTGCCCTGGCCAAAGGCCTGGTGGAACAGCTCTGTCTTGCAGGCCCTGCAGAAAGATGTTAAGTCCCGCAGGGCCCTGGTCTCTTGTGACAGAGTGTTCCACCAGATCGGAGCCACGGCCGAAAAAGCCCTGGCTCTAGTTGAGGCCAGCCTAACTTCTCTGTGGCCTGGGACCTTCAAGATGTTTTTATTTGAAGACCGTAAGTTTCTCTGTGCGGCATACCAGGAGAGGCGGTCCCGTAGGTACAAGGGTCCTAGGCCGTATAGGGCTTTAAAGGTTAAAACCAGCACCTTAAAGCTGATCCTGTACTCCACCGGGAGCCAGTGCAGCTGGTATAGCACCGGGTGAATGTGATCTCGCAGCGAAGACCCCGTAAGGAGTCGCGCTGCAGCATTCTGCACCCGCTGGAGTTTCTGGGTCAGTCTCAAGGGCAGCCCCACGTAGAGCGAGTTACAATAATCCAGTCTGGAGGTGACCATCGCGTGGATCACAGTGGCTAGGTCAGGGCGAGAGAGGTAAGGAGCCAACTGCTTAGCTTGGCGGAGATGGAAAAATGCCGCCTTTGTTGTAGCTGCAATCTGCACCTCCATGGAAAGGGAGGTGTCGAAGATTACACCCAAACTCTTAACGGATGGTGCTGGCACTAATTGCGCCCCCGCAAGAGATGGGAGTTGCCTCCCTAATCCCATATTATTCCGTCCCAGCCACAGGACCTCTGTCTTCAAAGGATTTAGCTTCAACCGGCTCCCACGTAACCATCCAGCCACAGCTTCCAGACATCTGGTCAGTGTGTCTGGGGCCGAGTCAGGATGGCCATCCATCAACAGATAGAGTTGGGTGTCATCAGCATACTGATGGCAACCCAGCCCAAAACTCCGGACAAGCTGGGCGAGGGGGCGCATAAAGATGTTGAAAAGCATCGGGGAGAGTATTGCACCCTGAGGTACTCCACACACCAAGGCGTGGGGCGATGACAATTCCCCCCCCCAAGCGCCACCCTCTGTTCCCGACCAGAGAGAAACGAGCGCAGCCATTGAAGGACTGTGCCCTGGATCCCCACGTCGGCAAGGCGGTGGTCCAGAAGTTCGTGATCGACCATGTCGAAAGCTGCTGACAGATCTAGAAGAATCAGCAGCCCCGAACCACCTCGATCCAGCTGTCTACGAAGATCATCTTTTAGGGCAACCAGAGCTGTCTCGGTCTCATGACCAGCGTGGAAGCCGGACTGGAATGGATCCAGAGCCGATCCAGAGTTCAGTGAAGAGAAACTGCTATGCAGAAAGGAAACAACAGCATACTTGGCATGATTTAAAGAGAGTGAGAAAGCTATGTCACTCACAAGGAAACATTTAGAGACATCAGGAGTCAGGGAATGCAACAAATCCTGCTGTAGGAACTCCAAAGAGAATTGCAGATTCAGCCCTTTATGCATAGTCAGAGTTGGTGCTGGGTGGGGCTGTCACCCCGGGCACAGTTTTTTTGTTTGTTTGTTTGAGGGGGAATGTTCCTCACAACGCCCTGCCAGCTTCTGGGGTTTGGAGGGTGTCGTGAGCTGTTGTGTTTGTCCTACTCGCCCTCCAGGACGCAACAGGGCAGGGCGCACCCCCCCCCCATCTAGTGCAGATGCAGACTTTAAATTGATAGTTTATTATGTTTTTATTATTCATTACAACAATTCATAAATTCAAATTCTGAGTGGAGGTACATTCTTTGGGCCAAATTAGAAAATTTCTCCCTTATGCAGATTTCCTTTCTGGCTGCTTGAAAGGAGCAAAATCTGACATCCCTTTGATCCTTTGAAAGTAGGCGCATAAAACCTAGCCACAAGCTTGTGGTCTGTGTCATAGAAGCTCTGCTCCGTGTGAGACTGACTTGATGCACATTTATCTGTTCTCACACACAAATGAAAATACAATGTTGACTCTTGGAGAAGGGGTGGCTGTTTTGTTCCTGGTCTTCTCTGCAGGTATGCTCTCTCTTGTGAATTGTTTATACCTCTGGATCTTGACATGACTTAAAGTCCAGGGCTCAGTTAGGGGCACTTTGCTTACATGAGACGGGCATCAGGATCTTCCCTTTAGTTCCCCAGATGTAAGCAGCTGTCCAGCTTACACTAATGGTTCACCAGATTATGTCCATTTCCTTCCTTCCTTCCTTCCTTCCTTCCTTCCTTCCTTCCTTCCTTCCTTCCTTCCTTCCTTCTCCCCTCTCTCCTCTGCCTCATTCCATCTTTTGCCTTCATGAAGTTCTCTCTCTTTTTGTTCAATTCTATTTCTAAAGGATAAGAGAAATGACCTGGCCTCTCCCAGTTATTCTGTCTCCTCCCTGTGTTTCAGGCCAAGGACAAGCTGTAACCCAGGACTCCTTTGTGTCTGCTGAGGCAGGAGAGCCCACCCAGCTGAATTGCTCCTATTCAGGATCTCCAAATACCTTGCAAGGGTACAAACAGCACCCGAGTGGACAGATCCAGTTCATGGCCTTGCTCTATAACAGTGTTTCCCAACCGGTGTTCCGCGGCACACGAGTGTGCCGTGAGACGTTGCCTCGTGTGCCGCGAGATGCCTGGAGGGAGGCGGGCGAGTCGGGCGGCGAGAGGCGGGGCGGCGGCGGCGAGGAGAGGCCGCGCCTCCTGCTGCTGCCTGGCGCTCCTCCTCGCAGCCGGCAGCGCTGCCTGGGCGCCTCCGCGTGACTCTGCCTCGCTGGGTTTGGTCTCCCAGCAGAGACGGGTCACACGCGCCCCTCCCTCCCTCCCTCAGCCTGCGCGGAGGGAGAGCCAGAGAGAGGCATCGCTCCTGCGCGGCGGGAGAGGGAGCAGCCGGAGCGATGCCCCAAACGAACGCATGGGACCGGAGGGGAAATCCTCTCCGAGGCGGATTGAGCGCAGCTGAGAGAAGCCTTTCGAGGAGCTGCCGTGTCCCCTGGAAACCCCCTTCCCAGCTCTGCCTCAGCCGCCGCCGCCTCAGTTGCCGCCGTCCCTCAGTCCCTCGCTCTGCTGCCTCCTCCCACCCCCAAAGCTTGGAGGTTCCCCAGCAAGGGGGAGGGAAAAAACTTTCACTTTTGTGCGTCCCTCCCGGCGTGACGCTGCGCGCTGACGTCACGGGGCGGGGCTTTAATGGTGGTGTGCCGCGAGATTTTTTTTCAGTAAACAGGTGTGCCGTTGCCCAAAAACGTTTGGGAAACACTGCTCTATAACACCAAGTCCACCACTGAGCCTCATGGCTATTTCAGTATGAGCCTGAATACAAAGGAGCCGGTCACGTTTTTAACTCTGCACCGCACTCAAGTTGAAGACTCTCTTGTCTACTTCTGCGCAGAGAGTCACAGTGCTGTAAAGGCACATCCTGCCAATCACAAAACCTGCTGTCAAGGGAGCCACAGGGAGAAACAAAGCTTTGCCCTGAATCAAAAGCCTTCTGGATTAGTAAAATTTATATTCAGTCTCCTGAAATTTTACACACCACGTGTAGTAACGTTCCACTCGCCCACACTTCCCCTCCATCGCCTGACTCTGCTCTCCGGCCAATTCAGGTTTCTGGAATAGGTTGGCGAGGGAATTTACTTTTCTTAAACACAGACTGAAATCACACCGGTAAGGCTGCCACCACTCCCTTTAGTTCAGGGGATCCCAGAGACACAATCCAGGGAGAAGAGTGTGTCCAATTAACCTGGCAATCCCCCTCCTTACAAGCTGCATCCACAGGCTTGCAGGCAGAAGTTCACTCGGTAAAGCGTGACTAAGCAGAAGGCTTGGATTTAGCTATTCCCCCGGAAAAGGCACAAAATACCAACAGGTTCTACTATAAAAGTTTATTTTAAAAGAAGAACTGAAAACATGTGGAAAAACCACAGGCACTTCTTAAGAGTCTTACAAACATAAAAATAACAACATTGTACATTATAACTAGCTTTACATACTCACAAAAGAACACACTTAGAGAAGAGAGAGTCCTTTCAAGCTGTTGCATAATGGAGATAGTTGAGGATTTCCATTTCAAAAGGACGAAACGGCTGTTAAGGATGGAGGTTACAGCCGGGCATCTTTGCGAGTTGCAGAGCAAATGGCATAGAGCATCGAACAAAACATCCCTTGATCTTTTATTCACAATTCTGACTTTGCGTCGTAACTTTTAGCCAATCAAGAGTCTTAATTTGATCAGCTCATTCTTTTGCAGCTGGGTCAATTTAGGTTTGAACCCTTAATCAAAGAATCTTCCTCCCACCTGTGGAAATTAACCAGATCCCCAATTCTCAGCAATATGAAAACAAGCAACCTCCGGGAAGGAGGAAGAGATTCACACCAGCAGCCCAGGTGCCAAACCTTCCATTAATCAAGGACCCCTTTCCTCCCATAAACCTCTCATGGCAAGGAGCCAGAAAGTCTGGGTTTTAAAGATACACAACTCCCTTTCCCAGGGTCCTTGCGGCTGATAAAATACCCACAAGGCCACATTCTTCTACTTGACCAAGGAATGATTTTTCTAACAATGACAACTTCACTACACCACGTCAAACTGATAGATTTTCAGGCAGTTCTCTTAAGAACTGATGTGCCAAATCCAATGTTTATACTCTTGGGTGGGTTGTTGTTGTTGTTGTTGTTGTTGTTTTGCCTTTTTTGGTGGTTTGCTTAAAAAAAACCACCACAACTATTTTGTGGTCTTCCTAAAAAATGCTGAACAACTTTCGGGGTTTCCTGGTTTTTACTTTTTGAAATATGGCAACCCCATTCAAAGGAATACTTAAATTATGCTGCATGTCATGGACATGACTTAATAATAATACCTTTATTGTCAATGTACAACCTGTGTACAATGAAATTAACCAAGCCTCCCCCCCCCAAACAATCGCATTGCACTCTGTATGCTTGTCGCACAACACACCAACCCCGAAAGTCAGTTGCACTATATTATTTTCCGTTCAGTAGCCTAACAGCCCACAGATAGAAACTGTTTCTTAGCCTGTTGGTATGACTGAATATACTTCTATATCTCCTGCCCAAGGGTAGAAGATTAAAGAGGTGCAGGCTGGGGTGCGGTGTGAATCGTCCCTGAGAATTTTTCTATCTCTCCTAAGGCAATGATCCCTTGCAATGTCATCTAGCAGGCTCAGGGGACAGCCCATGATATCATGTGCTTTGTTCACCACCCTCTGTAAAAACTTTCTGTCCATGGCTGTCAAGCCAATGTACCACACTGTGATACAATATGAGAGGACACTTTCTATTGTGGACCAGTAGCAGGAGGTCATCAACTGTTGTTTAACATTGTTCTTTCGTAATACCCTGAGAAAAGGAAGTTTCTGTTGGGCCTTTCTAACCACCTGAGTTATATTGTTTTTCCAAGTGATGTCTTCACTAAGGTAAACTCCCAGGAATTTAAAGGAAGAGACTCTCTCCACACAACCCTCCCCCCACCAATATATAACGGGGCTAGTTCCCCTCTCTTCCTCTGAAAGTCCAACACCATCTCCTTTGTCTTGCTAATATTTAGGTGCAAGTTATCCCACAGTCAAGATGAGCAGTCTGAGTGCGGGGGAGGGGTAAGTCGGTCAGAAGAGGTAGAAAGAGACTTGCCTCTTTTTCAGCCAGCTGAAGGCAATGGGCTAAAAAAACCAACACCCTTCTTAGAAGGAGGAGAGACTGTACTTTATCAGTACAGCGGGAAGGTCGGGGGTGCTTCCATGTTTCCTGTTGGAGGTGCGATTTGAGCTCAGATGCCTCAACTTCATCTTGATAGATGATCACTAGTGTGAGTGGCTCTGAGGTTAATGACTGTATACAATAAATCTTCTTGTAAATACAACTACTGTGTGCTGATTATCTAAGCTGGCAGCCTGACATTTCCTGACACTGCATCATAATGGAAGTGTGAAGAAACAGTGCATTAGGAGATCATACATGTCATTCATTTGCTCGCTTGAATATTGAAGTTGCTTGAGCTGTTTCTTACAGCAAGTACAGCAAAGTATTTGAGGGTAATGTCAGGTGAGGGCCTGTGGATGAGGGCTTCCCATAGGCATTTGGTTGGCAATTGAATGCAGCTGAGCAAGAGGGGCCTTTGGCCTGACCCAGAAGAGCTCTTCTTTATTTGTTGCATTTGTATCTCACATTTTCTTCAGGAAGTTCAAGATACATGGTTCTCCCCCTCATTATTTAATTCCCACAACCGCAACCCCCTGAGGTAGGTTGGCTGAGAGTCAGTGACTGGCCCAAGGTCACCCAGAGTCACCAAACATATGCCCATTATGGGAAAACCAGAAGCAGGACCATTTCTGTTCTAAATACCTTTTCTAAATCCAGCCTGGAAAATTTGTCTTGCTTTATTATGTAGGGAAAGCTCTTTTCCTCTAAATTGGGGGTGGCTTGCCTGATTTAGAATGTCTTTGAAATAACAGGGAGGGAGCAAATTCTGACATCCCTTTCGATCCTCAGAAGGCAGGCATACGAAACCAACCCACAAGCTTGTGTTCTGTGTCATAGAAGCTCTGCTCTGTGTGACATGCGTGCATCCATTCTCTCACACAAATGAGAAGATGATGTTGACTCTGGGAGAAAGGATGACTGTTTTGGACCTGGTCCTCTCTGCAGGTAATTTCTCTCCTGCAAAGATCCTGGCATGTCTCATTTAGGGGCACTTTACTGCATGGGATGGGTAGCAGAATCTTTTCTATGGCTCCTCAGATATAAGGAGGCTTCCAGCTTCCACTAATGGTTCATCAGATTTTGTCCACTCCTCTCCCTCATTACTTCTTCCCTTCTCATTATTTTATCTCTGTTTTTCCTCTTCTACTTTTCTTGCAAAGGATAAGAGAACTGACCTGCCCTCTCCCTGACATCCTGTTTCTCCTTCTGGTATTTCAGGCCAAGGAGAAGCTATAATCCAGAAGGACGCCTTTGTTTCTGCCAGAGCCGGAGAACACATCCAGTTGCATTGCTCCTATACAGGAACTCTGAGTACCTTGCAATGGTACAAACAGCACCTGCGTGGACAGATCCAGTGGTTGGCTTCACTGTATACCAAGTCCACCACTGAGCCTCATGGCTATTTCGGTTTGAGCCTGAACACAAAGGAGAAATTCACGTCTTTAACTCTGCACCACACTCAAGTTGGAGATTCTCTCGTCTACTTCTGCGCTGAGAGTCGCAGTGCTGCAAAGACACATCCTGCCAGTCACAAAACCTGCTGTCAAGGGAGTCACAGTGAAAAACATTGTTTTGCACCAAAAACAACAACAAAAAACCCCACAACTTCCAGATTAGCAGAATTCATATTAAGTCTCCTAGGCTCATAGGCAAGGGAAAGGAATGACAGGCTGTTTTGGTCTTGTTCCTCTCCACATGTATTTTCTCTCCTGCAAAGTGTGAATGCCTTTGGATCTCAGCATGGCTTAAAGTCCAGGGCTCAGTTAGGAACACTTGGATTGAATGGGATGGGCAGCACAATATCTATGGTTCTTTGGATGTGAACAGCCACAGGGATGTACAAACTGCTCATTAGATCAGATCCATTGCAAAAAGTAAAATAAAATCTTTCTCTCCTTTACATCTCTCTCTCTCTCTCTCTCTCTCTCTCCTCTGCCTCATCCCTTCTTTCCCTCCACTCTCCTTCCAAGGGATAAGAAAAATGACCTGTCCTCTTACTGATATTCCTTTTCTCCTTTAGGTGTTTCAGGCCAAGGAGAAGCTATAATCCAGAAGGACACATTTGTTTCTGTCATGGCGGGAGAACATATCCAGCTGAATTTCCTCCTATACAGGATCTCTGAGTACCCTGCAGTGCTGCACACAGCATCAGAGTGGACAGATCAGTTCACTTTATAAAAGCATGTCCACCATCATAGCATGTACACCAGACGTGCTGGCTTGCCCCGGCGATTGAGGGAGCTGGCACCGTGTGAAGTGCTCACATCACTTGCACACACCCCTCAACATGCTGACCTGACTTGTGCTCATGAAGCAAGCACATCGTGCGGCATGCGTGAGTATCATGAGCATGTTCGGTTGCATGCATGCACAGCAGGCACACATTCCCATGGAATATTGAGGGGGCCCAGCCCCCGCCTTGAAAATTTAAGGGGGGCCTTAGATGTTGCCTCTGCTTCCAACTCTACAATTCCATGTTTCTATGACCTGGAAAAGG